GGGGGGCCCAGGGACCACGCCTAGGGCAAGCACGCCACAGAGCCAGGCCACGTGGGCGACATCACCAGAGCGGCGCCGCCCGCCCACATACGGAAGGGGGAGCCACACGTGCATGGGGACAGGCGCTGGGGACATTCCTAACTAAAACAGGGCGCCGCACACGTGGGCGTGGAGGGGAACACGGGCAGGACTGTACCTTAGGATAATGGAGATGCGCCGGCTGCTCTGGAACGCTGATGGCTAACATTGAAAACTTCACTCAACCTGTAGCCCCGTGTGGGCCGCCTTTGCAGGCGACAGGGGGTGGCGATGAAGGCTATGTTGAAGGCGCATAGTCGACAGAGGTACTGGCGTCGTAGTCCACGTGTAACGGATGGCGGCGGAGCGTATAGTAGTGTATCTGGCGAGGCTGAGGCGAGCCCTGTGAGTTTTGTGAGTACCTTCCTGTGAGTTTTCATACGTCCAAGCTGCCTGAACCTCTTTGCACACTCTGGACACTCGTGAGGTTTAACACCTGGATGCAGTAACATATGGACTTCATACTTCGAAGATGCCTGAATCTTTTCCCACATTCTCGACACTCATGAGGACGATCCTCCATATGAATTAACATGTGTGTTATTATAGTTCCACGTTCTTAAATCTCCTGCCACACTCTGCACACTCGAAACGGCGTTCATCTGAATGCCTTAACATTTGTCTCTTCATATGGTCGAGACGACTGAATCCCTTACCACACTCTGGACACTCGTGAGGTTTGTCATCTGAATGCACTAAAATGTGAGTCTTCATATGACGAAGCAGACTGAACCTCTTCCCACACTTTGGGACACTCGTGAGGTTTGTCATCTACACTTGTGGGGTTTGTCAGCCGAATGTAGTAAAATATGAGTGGTCATACTTCGAAGATGCCTGAACCTCTTCCCACACCCTAGGCACTTATAAGGTTTCTCCCCCGAATGCACCAACATGTGAGTCTTCATACCTCCAAGCTGACTGAAGCTCTTCCCACACTCTGGACGCTTATGAGCTTTCACTGTCTTCCAGACAAGTGCAGATTATGTGAAGAATTTCGTGAGCACTTGGCTCTCAGTGGTGATGCTCCTTTATGATAGGCGCAGTGTGTGTGAAGGTTATACCTTAATGCTGATGTGTGGAAACACAACACCAGCGTTTTGTAGTGTACTGGCGAGGAAGAGGCGAGCAAGTGGTCGCCGAGTCCGCGCGCGCGCGCGCGTTTAGGTACCCCACTCGATGCGCGCGCACGCGCTACTTAGTCGGTTAGACACAAAATCATGGTAATACGTTTTCGTTCCCCGCAGAACTTCACCGCTTTTGGGAAAAGCAGTGACTGTTTCTCGTTTGAAATTAGAAAGAGCAAAAAGTGAAAATAACAAGTAGACATTTCTGTCACTACATAATATTTCATTTACTGTATATGAAAGTACAGTATACACATTTCATTCATGAAATTGGAAAATTCATAGGTAAGACATGCACTTTACATAAAAGACACTAATATGCAGAACATTTCAGGTATGACAAAAACATGATTTAGGAGATTTATCATCTGTTAATCATGTCCCCTCTACATGATTCATTAGTGACATTTGCCTGTGTCAAGAAAAAAAGTAGAATGCAAAACCGAAATAGGGGATTTGAACAGACTCAAAACTGCACATCTGCAAGTAAAGCACCTGACAAAAGTTCAGCAAACAGTGGCAGGCACCAACAGGGCAAATATCTTGGGCAAAGCCTCCCAACCTTGATTAGGAAGGTGGACACTACTAAAAAATATTTGTTTAATTGCTCTACCAAGTAAGAGAGCTTTCAAGTCCACTGCAACAAGATGACGTGACAAGTGTGGTAATCTGTATATCCAGCAGCTGGCAGCTTTCTTTATAAGGAACAAAAAGGAGAATTGACAGTCTTGTTAAGTGCTGTCCAGATGCTCGTCTACCAGGTCGCATTAAACACAGAAGATCTCATAAGTCTCACATACATGAATGGCAAAATTCATGTATTGGCAAGGTCATGAGACCTTGCAGTCTCCGTGGTGTAGTGGTAAGACACTCGCCTGGCGTTCCGCGAGCGCTATGTCATGGGTTCGTATCCTGGCCGGGGAGGATTTACTGGGCGCAATTCCTTAACTGTAGCCTCTGTTTAACGCAACAGTAAAATGTGTACTTGGATGAAAAAACGATTCTTCGCGGCAGGGGATCGTATTCCAGGGACCATAGGATTAAGGACTTGCCCGAAACGCTACGCGTACTAGTGGCTGTACAAGAATGTAACAACTCTTCTATATATCTCAAAAAAAAAAAAAAAAATAGCTGCCACTTTCTACTAAAAAACCAGCGTTGAATGTAATGAAACGCCATTTTCTGGGTGAGACCCGGAGGCTCCCCGGAGCTTTACCGGCTGATATGCTAATGTCAGACTTTGGCATCAGTCATGTGTATGGAGTTCTAGGGCCTACCGGGGACCACGGCCAGAACCTGGCCCCCTCAGAGAGGCAAGGGGAGCAATGGCCTATAGAAACCCCCGTGAGGTAGGAAGCATTCTATGTCTGCCATCGACCGGGTCAAGCATCCAGAAAGGGAAGCATTCCAAAACAAGTGCGCTATTCATTGATTGATTGATGAAGATTAAGCTACCCAAAAGGTGGCACGGGCATGAATAGCCCGTAAGTGGTGGCCTTGAGCCATTACCAGTATCAAGAGCTGATACTGGAGATCTGTGGAGGTACGACTGCACCCTGCGTGACGGGAGATGTCTCCCGTGAAGAGACGTGATTGATTGATGAAGATTAAGCCACCCAAAAGGTGGCACGGGCATGAATAACCCGTAAGTGGTGGCCCTTTTAAGCCATTACCAGTATCAAGAGCTGATACTGGAGATCTGTGGAGGTGCGAATGCACCCTGCATGACGGGAGATGTCTCCCTTATGAATGTGTTAAGATGAAGATGTAGCAACCCAAAAGGTGGCACGGGCATGAATAGCTCGTAAGTGGTGGCCCTTTTGAGCCATCACCAGTATCAATAGATGATACTGAAGATCTGTGGAGGTGCGACTGCACCCAGCGTGACGGGAGATGTCTCCCGGACCAAATGGTGACCAAATGGTGCGCGCTATTCAGATTGATAAAGATTAAGCCACCCAAAAGGTGGCACGGGCATGAATAGCCCGTAACGCGCTATTCATCAAATCGCTTGCATATATGGTGATTACACCTCAGCTCCCTCCAACAGGGTGAGACGAGTATTACCTGTAATTGGGGAAAGGACTGTAGCTTCTGTAATTAGTGCTAATTAGTTATGCTATTAAGATAATGAGATAATGGAGCGAGTATAAGATTAACTCGCTACAAAAGCATTGGTGTTTAAAGACAAATTCTACGAGTAATAGTTATTTTACCATCTAACTAATGGCCTTGACGGTGACGGGAAACATTTTGTTTTTTAGTAGACACGAGGACTATGTTATGTTCCAGAAGTTTTTACTAAATTAAAGCGTTGTATTTCCATTCTGTTATTCATGTTAAAAAAAATTACTGTACAGTTGCTGGAAATAGACTTCAAAGTGCAATAGTCTATGTCTGTTATCATTAAGTTTTACCTGAATTTTCCCGAGGGCCACGACGAGGACAGGAAGCCGGTGGCTTGTTAAAGGTTCCTCATTTGTCCGAATGATTTTTTTCAAGCTGGATTTTTAAGTTCAGCGGAGATTTTGCATGCTCGGTTGCTGCGGGTAGGCGGTTCTATGGGTTTATAGCCCTGTGGGTGAAAAAGCATCTCCAGTTTTCAGTCCTACATTGTGTCTTAAGCTTGAATTATTATATCTGACCTTTTGAAGAAATTATCTGGATCATCACCCTCCAAATTGTTCAGTATTTTAAGCCCGTAACTTACCTGGCACAGGAGCGGGGCAAGTAGCGTGGGCTATGGTGAGCCCGTAGTGGACTTACCTGGCACAGGAGCGGGGCAAGTAGCGTGGGCTATGGTGAGCCCGTAGTGGACTTACCTGGCACAGGAGCGGGGCAAGTAGCGTGGGCTATGGTGAGCCCGTAGTGGACTTACCTGGCACAGGAGCGGGGCAAGTAGCGTGGGCTATGGTGAGCCCGTAGTGGACTTACCTGGCACAGGAGCGGGGCAAGTAGCGTGGGCTATGGTGAGCCCGTAGTGGACTTACCTGGCACAGGAGCGGGGCAAGTAGCACGGGCTATGGTGAGCCCGTAGTGGACTTACCTGGCACAGGAGCGGGGCAAGTAGCACGGGCTATGGTGAGCCCGTAGTGGACTTACCTGGCACAGGAGCGGGGCAAGTAGCGTGGGCTATGGTGAGCCCGTAGTGGACTTACCTGGCACAGGAGCGGTGCCTTGGCTATTCACTTCAAGCTTGCTTATATTTGGTGACTATACCTCAGCTTCCTCCATCAGGATGGAAAGAATGTTACCTGTAAAAAAAGGGATTATAGCTTCTGTAATTAGTGCTAATTATGCCATTAAGCTAATGAGAGATTGGTTTACTCGCTACATGCCCATCAGGTAAATTCAGGTTATCGTGTACACCCCATCCCCCATCCAGTGTAGGGTGGTGGTAGGTTATTTTTGATGCTAAAATGACTCATGGCCGGTTAAATTATAATCAACCATTTTATAGAATCAACGAAACATTAGATAATTTATTAGGATCACGTAGGTACAGATAGCTTCCTTCTTGACTCACAATTGTGGATCCGGGTTCGATTCTGTGACGGAAAAGAAATGGTTGGGTACATTTCCTATCACCTAATGCGTCTGTTCACTTAGCAGTAAGTAGGTATCTTAACTTGTTGTGGGGTTGCATCCTAGGGAGTTTGTAATTTGGGGATGGGACCTACACTAACAATAACAACAATAATAATAATAATAATAATAATAATTTTATTATTATTAAATAAAATAGTTGAGTCTCCTGTAAAGACCAACGTTTGTCGTGATATTTTTCCGTTTTCTCTTACAGTAAAGAAAGACAACAAGCAAGATGGCCGCCGCCAGGGTCGTCACCAGAGCACCGGGTCTCCTCCACTCCAGGGCTTTATCATGTGTGAGGGGCATCTCCTTGGGGCTTATGACAGCATCTACGGATATTTCAAAGCTCTTGTATTTATAAAATTAAATAGCTTCCGCCATCCAAACTAATATATTGTGTGTGTGTGTGTAATGGCTCTCTTTCTCGTGTTCAGTTCTTCAGTTATTTTGTAACACCTTTTATTTATTTATTTATTTATTTATTTATATATATATATATATACAAGAGTTCTTACACTCTTGTACAGCCACTTGCAAGCATAGCGTATCGGGCAGGTCCTTGATCTAAAATTTCACACCCCACCCCTAAGGAAGCAGCCCGCAGCAGCTGTCTAACTCTTAAGGTACCTATTTACTGCTAGGTGAACAGGAGTATCAGGGTGAAAAACTGTCCATTTGTGTTCGCCTCCGCCGGGGATCGAACCCGGACCCTTAGGACTACAAACCCCCGAGCGCTGTCCACTCACCCGTCAGGCCCCCTGTGAGCACCTTGGCTCTATATTATAGTATGGTACAGTGGATGATGTGCGCCTCACTTGGTCAGTTGGTTAAGCAACTGCAAGTTAAGGTTAAGCAATGTACGTGTCAAACATAAAACATAATTGTAATTATCCTCCGACAGCTGAGTGGACAGCGCTCGGGATTCGTAGTCCTGAGATTCCGGTTCAATCCCCAGTGGAGGCAGAAACAAATGGGTAGAGTTTCTCTCACCCTGATGCCCCTGTTCACCTAGCAGTAAATAGGTACCTGGGAGTTAGACAGCTGCTACGGACTGCTTCCTGGGGATGTGTAACAAAAAGGAGGCCTGGTCGAGGACCGGGTTGTGAGGATGCTAAGCCCCAAAATCATCTCAAGATAACCTCAAGATAAGAAGATCCTTATCTCAACTAACATGAGCCACAAATTTACCTCAGAGCCACTAACACTAGTGGCCTTGATGAGGACAGGATGCTGGCGGCTTGTTGAAGGTCCCCTCCATTTGCCTTGCTGATCTTTTCCAGCTGTACTTTAAATTTTAACAGATTTTTGGTATTTATGGCTTCGGCGGGTAGGCGGCTCCATGGGTTTATAACCCTGTGGGTAAAGAATCATCTCCTGTTCTCAATAATACATTGTTGCTTGTTGAGCTTGAAGCCGTTGCTCCTTGTTTCTGTTACATCTGACCTTTTTGAAGAAATTTTCTGGATCAACATCCTCCTAATTGTTCAGTATTTTAAAAGTTTCAATGAGATCTGCCCTGTCATGCCTGGTTTGCAGTGGTGTTAGCTCTTTGGCCCTCAACCGTTCCAAGTCGTCAAGGAGACTGGGAGGAGACTTGTTAAGGAACCCTGCTGTGAAAACAGCTGGGTATAATGCTGCTATTTGGTTCTGTTTTGGATAGTTAGCCAGAGACTAACTGCGTAATTAAATGTTAATTGATGGTCACTTGTGGTGGTCCATTGGTGGTCACCTGTGATGGCCTGGAGGGTTAATATGGACTTTTGAGTTTCAAAAAATTGCCATTCCAACCTGGATTAAGATTTTTTTTTTTAAATTGATATATACAATAGTTCTTACATTCTTGTACAGCCACTAGTACACGTAGCATTTCGGGCAAGTCTTTAATCCTATGTTCCCTAGAACACGACCCCTCGCGAAGAATCGTTTAACAACCAGGTACCTATTTTTCTGTTGAGTTAAACAGAGGCTACAATTAAGGATTTGCGCCCAGTAAATCTTCCCTGGCCAGGATACGAACCCAGGACAAAGCGCTCGCGGAACACCAGGCGAGCGTCTTAACCACTACACCACGGGGGCTGTGCAAATTCTCCAGTCCACCTTAGCATCAGAAAGACCTTGTTGGATCTAATTGAAATGTTGCCTCCATTGCCAGTGCTAGAGTTTTGCCTTACCTGGCTATTCATAAAGCAGTGCCGTAGACACCGCAGGTCTTATCTTAGGGAGCAGCATAGTAAAATAACTCAGGTGTACCTATATTTCAAATAACTATGTCTAGTTGGGTTGTTGACATTTTTGCAGACACTTCATAAAATAAAAATGTTCTTTTGCACATTATAGATGCTAAATAATTTGTTTAAATTAACACTCCACTGTACTGAATTACCTCTTAAGATTGCATTCTCATTTCATTTATTTAGTTTTGCTCACTTTTTTCCTCAGAGTGCTGTGATGTACAAGAAAGCTATGAAAGGCCCAGACATGGAATTAAATGAGCGGTTGTGGCAGATAGAGTTTCACCAAAAGGAAAAGGGAAAAGCATATGACAAGAAGCCCTTTAGGATAACACTAAGGGAAGGCAAGAAGTATTTGTGGTGTGCTTGTGGGTACAGTAAATCACAGGTAAGAAAAGTAAAATTATATGTGAACTGCTTATAAAGAATTAGTATTTTTCTCACTTTTTTTTATAAGTACCATATCAGAAATTGTCCACTAATAGGCAAGGTGAAACTAAGACAATGCTCTTTTTTACAAATCTTCATTAATAATTTTGCACTGTTAGTATTTTTAAGTTTCAATGAGATCCGTCCTGTAATGCCTGGTTTGCAGTGTTAGACCTGTGGTCCTTAATGGTTCGGACAGTTCAGACAGTGCACAAATGTCTGCCAGAAACTCTATGCGTGTTACGTAGTGGCTTTGCATGAATATAAGAACACCAATCTTATGCACTCTCACAAACCCAATGTGCTTCTTGTATATAAATAGATAAATAATAAGTTTAATCTTATTGGAAATGTTTAACTTTTAAATTTATCCTGTTGCATATTTTCAGTATGGTAAATAAATAAAATGAAATATATACAGTATATGTACAGTCACCATTTAAATTTCTGACTTACATGGGATGCAATACAATTACAACAAAATTAGTTCACACTGTCAGTTGCATTTTGTGCCCTCATAAAATATGCCTGTGTTCAACTACTTGTGTGCTGTATTATATACATTACCGTATTTCTCTTTAGAAAATATTTTGCTTTCTTTTATTGCAAGTTTATTCAGCATTGCAATTGAACATCGGGTGAACAGTATCAGTATTAAAGTAAGGTTAAAGTACAGAAGATTCCTGTCATGACTTATCCTTTCTAGTTATCTTTGCTTTCCATTCCATATCATATACCATGTTACATATTAGTCAACATTCATATGTTCAAACCATCTTCCATGACTGAAATCCCACCCCTAGATGTACACACACATGAATCTGGGTGTCGGTTGCAGTATGTGTACTGTTTTAAAGCTATTACTGTATTATTGTATTTTTTTGTCCACCTACAGCCTGTATGTGATGGTACACACCTAAATTTACAATTGAAGATCAAACAGAAGCCTCTGGTGTTCAAAGCTCCCGAAACAAAAGAGGTGTGGCTATGTAACTGTAAACAGTCGAGAAATCCTCCATTTTGTGATGGCACACACCGCACCGAAGAAGTACAATTAGCAGTCAAGGATTAGTGACGTACTGAATGATATACTGTAGTTCAATCATCGTGGTATCAAGCAGCTGTGCAGAATAATTATAATACACAACGAAATAATTTAATCTAAAACAGTAATTGAAAAACAGTGAAGATGTTACATTATTTCAAATATTTTTTAAGTATTATACATTAATCATGTTTATTTTCAGAATGGAATGAACAGTCATGTAAAGCATTCTGCAAAGCATTGAAATTCTGTATAACTTGGATGCTTTATAAAGTTTTTTAAATATTTATAAGATAACTACTGTACTTTTATTATTATTATTGGCCATCACAAATCAAGTTTAAACAGAAACTAATTCTCAGGGCCAGTAACTGGATGGGTGACTACATGAACATAGGTTTACCTTTAGCCAGCAGGGACCCTCGGCAACACATTTCAAAACTTTTGGCTTTTAATAGGTCATGCCCAGTCCAGTAATGACATTATAAATGCTGCAGTTATATTTATAGAATTTAAATATATTAATTACAAAAATTAATTACAGAAATTGTATTTATATTTTGTTTGTAAATAAAATTTTGTACAAAAAAAAGTTATAATCTGTTCATGATTCCTAAACTTCTATCGTACAACTGACAATAACTTCTTATTATTTAAATCTTAACAAAATGAGAACAATTTGATCCATGGATCACTGGGCCCACAATATTAATTATTTAAAAAATGCAGAGACTGTGGCCATGTTTATGCATGTACAGGTGATGACCTTTGCTGTTAATAAAGGGTAGTATAGCTCAAATTTGCTAATGAAAAAATATCTTGGTTTCTATGCTGTGAATTTAAAGCTAATGGATAACTTGTAAAAATGTAAAAGGAAAACAATTTAACTGTCAATAGCGTCAGTCTCGCTTCGTACAGGTTGGCATGAATCACCAGCCGTCCAAGCGCCTGGGCACCATCCCTTTGCTATTTATATTCTTTATACAGCCACCAATCATGCACAGCCAATATCAGTTATCCTCTTAGAGCTATAAGATCATGACAGATAATCATGTAATGAGTTTGAAGAACAAAAGTTGAACAAGAAAAAGAACAAATCAGAATTGAAGATGTTTGTGCACATCTTCATTAAAAGCCTGTGCGAGTGACTTAACAGGAGACTTTTCTGTACGTAAAAATAAAAGTTCAAAGAATGATGCCTCCTCTATCATCTTGACAACAGAGAGCCGTCAATCTGTCACTGATAATCTAAGCATATTAAGCTCATTACTAATGGCAATATAAATGAAGCGTCACTTATTTTTTCTCATAATGAGCGTACATGTGGTGGGAGGAAATTCAACTTCAGATTGACAATGTTAACATCAGCAATAACAATGATTGAAAGTTCCTTGGCCTACACATAGATAAGAGACTCATCTTCAGCACCCACATACAACACAGGTAAAAAAAAAAAAAAGTCTCAAAACCTGTCTGCATACTCTCTAAAATCAGATATTATGTCCCCCACTGCTCTCCTCATTACACTACTCGCTAATCTATCCCTATCTTACATACGATATCTGTGCATGGGGCTCAACTACTGCAAATTACCTCAAGACCATCATCACCCAGCAAAAATCTGCTATCAGAACAATAACTAATTCCATTTTCAAACAACACACAGCCCTCTGTTTAAATCTCTTAAACATGCTAAACATACACTCACCCAACACATTCTTTTGTGCTATTTACATGTACAAAACTTTGTCCCTAAATGCAAATCCTGATCTGAAACTCTTCCTTAACAGTTGTAATAGAACCCATAATCACCACACCAGAAGTGAATATCTTTGATATCCCCCAGAGTCAAACTAAATCTGTGCAAACATTTTATGTAAATAAAGGGACATATTCTATGGCGCTCTCTCCCTAGCGAATTAAAAAGCTGTCCAACCTATGCCTTACTCAAAAGTAAAATAAAAACGCACCTAATTTCATCTTCACAGTTTCCTACTTAGTGCTTCAACCTCGCACTGTATCTTGTGCTTCCCACTCATAATATGTATTCTTCATATTTTGCTACAAATGACCTACTTCAAATTATATCCACGGAGCAGTCTCCGTGGCGCAGTGGTAAGATACTCGCCTGGTGTTTCGCAAGCGCCTTGCCTTGGGTTCGAATCCTGGCCGGGGAGGATTGACCGGGCGCCAATCCTTAACTGTGGCCTCTGTTCACCCAGCAGTGAATGGGTACCTGGTTGTTAAACGATTCGGCGGGGTCGTATTCCGGGGAAATTAGGGTTAAGGACCTTGCCCGAAACGCTACGCGTAATAGTGGCTTTACAAGAATGTAAACTCTTGTATATTTTAGATTAAGCCAGAAACGCTCTGCGTGTTAGTGGCTTTGCAAGAATGTGAAAACATCAATGTTATGTACTCAAGTTAACCCAGTGAGAGTTTATTCTTGTATAAATAAATAAATAAATGAATGAATAAATATAAAGATGTGTTCACAGTTACCCGGAGCGGAGGGTAATTGCACATGCGTGTAAACATAGGAAAATATGGAGCATGAGAAAGAACTCGTGATTAAAATCGTATTAAATTTTAATCTAATCGTGGTGAATTTTACCAGATTAAAATTTTAATTTTATAAAATTTCCTTTATGGTAGCATTTTATTTTGAGGTGTAAACAGTTACAGTATTAAAAAAAACTTGACTTTAATTAATATATCGAAGAAATTTATTTGTATGAAAAAGAAATATGGTGACTGAAGTGTCTCAGAAAATATGAGTGTGTTCATATGCAAATAAATTAGCAAATTAGCCAGGGAAAACATCTCAATAAAAAGATAAGAATAAAGGCAACTGGGGGTCTTTTGGTCTATATGAGGCAGCTCCTATTTATATCCACCCAAACTAATGTATGAACACGTCCAACCTATGCTTCAAAGAATCTAATGATCTAATGGTTAATGGTAAAGATATCTGACTCAAGAAAACTGGATGGACCGTTGTTGTAAGGCCGATGATATGCCAACATATGAGATTGGGACTTGGGATTGGGACTAGATTGGGACAGATGAGACTTTTTCATTTTCTCTTTGTAAATACTGTACACCAAATATAATTCCCCTTGTATTTAGATGGAGGGTGTTGAAAAATCTTGGACCCCCTAATGATTATATAGCATTTGTCTGAGGATTTATTGCGTCCCTTTTCAATGTTTTTTTTTTGTATATATGGCGTTGCCTCATTTTCTTGTAAAGGAATGCCTCAATAGTAGGGGTTGTGGTGGTGGGTGTTAGATGGTGGGGGGTTGTGGTGGTGGGTGTTAGATGGTGGGGGTTGTGGTGGTGGGTGTTAGATGGTGGGGGGTTGTGGTGGTGGGTGTTAGATGGTGGGGGGTTGTGGTGGTGGGTGTTAGATGGTGGGGGTTGTGGTGGTGGGTGTTAGATGGTGGGGGGTTGTGGTGGTGGGTGTTAGATGGTGGGGGTTGTGGTGGTGGGTGTTAGATGGTGGGGGTTGTGGTGGTGGGTGTTAGATGGTGGGGGGTTGTGGTGGTGGGTGTTAGATGGTGGGGGTTGTGGTGGTGGGTGTTAGATGGTGGGGGTTGTGGTGGTGGGTGTTAGATGGTGGGGGGTTGTGGTGGTGGGTGTTAAATGGTGGGGGGTTGTGGTGGTGGGTGTTAGATGGTGGGGGTTGTGGTGGTGGGTGTTAGATGGTGGGGGGTTGTGGTGGTATAGGTGGCGAGGTGAGGTATACCACTCACAGGTGGGGGCGAGTCGACGACAAGGTGGAGGGGGGGGGGGTGGAGGCGAGTTGACGGGTGGAGGCGAGTTGACGGGTGGAGGCGAGTTGACAGGTGGGGGCAAGTTGACAGGTGTGGGTGGAGGCAAGTTGACAGGTGGGGGCGTGTTGACAGGTGGAGGGTGGGTGGGAAGTTGAGGAGGGCGGACCCAGGGCAGCGGGAGCGTGGCGGGGCAAGGCGCCAGCCAGCTCAGGGCACGATCAGTCCGTGCCTGCCAAGCATTACACCGTGTATGTGCGTGTCCCCCTTCCACAGGGACGCCCGTGTCCTGCTTACTCGACACGGATCATATATACATATACATATAGCAGACATGGCCAAACGGTCGCATCTAAGACCCGACGGAGGAGTGGATTACATGGACACGGTCTCTGGATATATCCTCCAGTAGCCACGGAGATAAATACAGTGGACACGTAAAGACTGTAGTGAACACGGGTAAAAAAAAAGTTTTGAAACATTAAATATCGCCCGTAAAGTGAGTGAAAACAAGAACAAAATAACGATTTTTTTTGTAATTACGATAATTTGTGTAATCCCGAAGAAAAAGTAATAGTTGGGCACCGTAATATTTTTTCCAGTTATGATTTAGATATTCTTGATAACGGTGACACTTTATAAAATGTCAATAGGTATGGCTATGTATTAAGTCAAAGGTCAAGCTACGAGGTCAAAGGTGAGCTGTTCCTTGTGGGCCAATGGAGGAGTATTTCACGCAGGTAAATGAATGGTGGTAGACGGATGGACGGCAGTCGCTTGATGGATAGATATTTGTGGTGAATGAGTGAAGGAATTGATTGATTTGTGGATGGACGAATGGGTTACTGGATTGATGGATGACTAGAAAAATGGATGGTCGATAATTATATATATATATGGCTAGATGGATGACTGGATAGGCAAGCGAATAACCACAACAACTTGAGGCACAAAATGTTGTCCTGTATCCTTTAAGAGGACACCTCTCGTGTCTGTGTAGTCTTTAATACACCAGTGTGTGTATCATGAGCGGCATGCATGTATCGCGGCCAGCACGGTGTATGTATCACGAGCGGCACGCATGTATCGCGGCCAGCACGGTGTATGTATCACGAGCGGCACGCATGTATCGCGGCCAGCACGGTGTATGTATCACGAGCGGCACGCATGTATCGCGGCCAGCACGGTGTATGTATCATGAGCGGCACGCATGTATCGCGGCCAGCACGGTGTATGTATCACGAGCGGCACGCATGTATCGCGGCCAGCACGGTGTATGTATCACGAGCGGCACGCATGTATCGCGGCCAGCACGGTGTATGTATCACGAGCGGCACGCATGTATCGCGGCCAGCACGGTGTATGTATCACGAGCGGCACGCATGTATCGCGGCCAGCACGGTGTATGTATCATGAGCGGCACGCATGTATCGCGGCCAGCACGGTGTATGTATCACGAGCGGCACGCATGTATCGCGGCCAGCACGGTGTATGTATCACGAGCGGCACGCATGTATCGCGGCCAGCACGGTGTATGTATCACGAGCGGCACGCATGTATCGCGGCCAGCACGGTGTATGTATCACGAGCGGCACGCATGTATCGCGGCCTGCACGGTGTATGTATCACGAGCGGCACGCATGTATCGCGGCCAGCACGGTGTATGTATCATGAGCGGCACGCATGTATTGCGGCCAGCACGGTGTATGTATCATGAGCGGCACGCATGTATCGCGGCCAGCACGGTGTATGTATCACGAGCGGCACGCATGTATCGCGGCCTGCACGGTGTATGTATCACGAGCGGCACGCATGTATCGCGGCCAGCACGGTGTATGTATCATGAGCGGCACGCATGTATCGCGGCCA